AAAATAAATAAAATAAATAAAATAAATAAAATAAATAAAATAAATAAAATAAATAAATAAAATAAATAATAAATAAATAAATAAATAAATAGTGTTATTCTTTTATTAGTAGAAGGGTACAGCATTTCCTTCATTTAGCCTTAATCTGTTTCTTTCTATTGGTTTTTGATATTAGATCAAGCTAAAAGAAGGAAATGCTGCCATTTTCTACCAATTTTAAAAAAAACCCACAAGGGCAGTGATTTAATAGCAAAAACCACTAGTGAAAGTAGTGATTGTGATATTCACTCCAGAGAGTCCAGATTAGGTGCAACAGGCCCAGTAAAAAATATTCCTTATAGAAACAAAGCTTTCATTTTCTTCCTTGTAGTTTTTCAGCAGCTGCATGTCAGAGGAAGGCCTTATTTTAATCAAAGGAAGGGGTAGTTAAAAAAAAAGTAGCTGAAGTAGCATTCTGTCTTTTTTGTCCCCCATTCTCTTCTTTTTTTATGTTATCCATATCTCCATATTTTCTCAGCATAAATGGAAAAGTTACAAAATGTACACTGGGAATAAGTAACGGGGGGGAAATGGCAAACACATTGTAACATAAATTATTGTTAATCTAGAGCACATGTATATATAAAATACAAAAACAGGTGTTACAATACGTTGTTCATAAATTATTGTATGCAATATTCCTTTCAAAATTATTTTTTGTTTTAAATATATTTTAAGTTGCCTTTCCAGTGAGTCAGTCTTAATTTTCTTCCTTGTAGTTTTCAGAAATGTTTGCTACTTGTTTTGCCATCTTTTGTAACTGATTAATGACCATTTATTCTCTTGCCTAGAAATCGTTAACTTTGCTCTGTGTGAACAGCTTGGTGACATTGTTAATGGGCAATTTATTATACTGATTTTGTTACAATAAGACAGTTACAATATTAAAGTTAGGAATATATTCAATTACTTTTCAGTAGTGCAAGACTGACAAAGATATATACTTATTGAAATCCAGACTGTTTAGGTTTCGTTATTGAATTTGGATTTACTCCAGATTGTACTTGCTATTGACTATTTCAAAAGTAAATGTTTCAGGTGTTGAATTATTGCATGAAGAAAAATGCTGGCATCTGTGATTGAAGAAATTGAGTAATAACTATAAAGGGGCTGACTATGCTCATAAGAGAGATTTTGACCATGCCCAGGGACACTGCTGTGAGGATATCAGCATATGGCATCTATTTGTGATACTGTATTGTAGAAAAAGAAACTTGTTTGTGTGCACACCAATCTCTTGTCCAGTAGGTTCCTTCTCTGCTGTATATATCGTTGGGATTAGTAGTGGAGCACTATGCATTGTGGTGCTGAGTCACTTCAATTTGACAGCCTCTAGGACTTACATGGATAAAAGTTGAGTTCATGTTTTCCATAGCAGCCCTCGCTTGTGTCAGGTCATCTTGGCTTCAACACATGTTGGTGTTCATATTTTGGATCTCATTTTTTGTCACAAAGCAATAGTTGATGGAAGTGAAAGGAATTTCCATCATCCTTTTGCCATGGTTAATCATGCTCTGGTCCAGTTGCATTTGGTAGCCATTAAGTGATGGGACTGATCAGTATAGTTTGTCCCTAAATGACCATCTGGTTTTTAGAGAGGGCTTTGGGTTTTCTCAGCTCTCTAGCGAGCAGTTTTACTCAGCATCTTGTAAGTGGCTGACATCAGTGGTATCCAGGCATTATAAATTATTTCTCTCAAGTAGCTTGTTTCCAAGGCCCAGTTCTCGGTGGTAACAAGGTTTATGGAGGCCTTTTGGAAGGAAACCACACATCGAGTGGCTATGTAAGAAGTCTAGAACCAAATCAAATCAACCTGGATACATGCCCATATTTAACCTAGACCTTGCCATGAAGATGAAGTGTTTTGTTTTATTATTTTGATTCCCTTATTACATCAGATAACTGTTGTCCAGTAGTTTTCATCTCCCTTTTGGGGGTGAATTATTTCTGACATCTGCCACTGAGGTACTGTAATCAGTTTCTGTAGCACTTTGATAAGGTCACTTGGATTTACTGCAGCCTTTTTTCTGCATAGACTTTTTTGTGTGTGTGATTGACATACTGTTATTTGTGTCTGTCCTGGTCAAATTTTATACAAAGCTTGACTTTCATCTACATAAAATATTAAAATAACATTATTAGTAATGGTACGAAGTAGAAACTGACACAGATTCAAGGCAGAAGTTTGAGTTTACTGCTAGTTGCCAACTAAACTTGAATTCTTTTTACAATAGTGAAAAGGTAAATATATGTTTTATTCATTAACTCCCTACCTCACGATCAATACCTAGCTCAGAGGTCAGCAACTTTAGGTTTAGGTTTAGGTTTATTAGATTTATATGCTGCCCTTCTCCTAAGGACTCAGGGTGGTGTACAACATTAAAAGAAACACATAATACAAAAAATTAAAATTAAAATTAAAAATTAAATAGAATATCCCAAGGAAACCCAATTAGAATTAACAATAACATTTTTTTTAAAAAAAATCAAATTAAAATTAATAATGATCAATAATTTATTTTATTCTTTTCAGGCAGGCTGGCTTGCTGGAAAAGCCAACTTTTTAGGGTGCGTTGGAAGGACCGGAGTTTGGGGATTATATGAAGCTCCAGGGGCAGCTCATTCCAGAGGGAAGGGGGTCCCACGGAGAAGGCTCTCCCCCTGGGGGTCGCTAGCCGACACTGTCTGGCCGAAAGCACCCTGAGGAGGCCAACTCTGTGGGATCGCACTGGGCGGTGGGAGGCTACCGGTGGCAGTAGGTGGTCTCGCAGGTATCCTGGGCCTTGAGGCTCTGGAGCTGCATGTGGCTCTTTCATCCCTCTGCTGAGGCTCCCTGTCACCTGTCAGCTCCACAGTTGATAAGGCGTTCAGTTAGGATAGATAGAGGAAAAAGGATACCATGCTAGGACAAGACTATGATGGGGGAATTGGTCTTCCGATCGGCTTAAGAATTGAACAGGGAGCTTCTGGTTAGGACCTTTGTGGCTCTTTGAGTGTTTAAGGTTGCCAATCCCTGACCCAGCGGAATAATGTTTTGTTTTAAGAAATGAAATTGAAGATAGAAATAGCAAAAGAGGGGAACCAAGTAGGAAGAAATTTAATAAAGAAGCTAGAAGACTTCATTTCTGAAAAGTTATATTTGTCCATTGTAAACAGGCTTTGGCAAGAATTCAACTGGCTATGTAGTGTGTTTTTAAAAGCTGTTCATGTTCTTTCATTCTTGATCCCTCTGAATCACATCTCACAGAGTTTTCAGAATTATAGCAAAAACAAGGTAGAATGCCATTTAAATCAAACGAGGTGCTAAATAAAAATAATACTGGAATTTTATAGAGTTTTGTATATAAACTATAGGCAGTTAAAAGTTTATACACTAGAGGTAAAGCCATTGCTATGTAGGTAATGGT